TTTTTTTTTTTTTTGGATTTTTTTCCAGAGTCATAATATGTTAAAGACTATTTACTATGAAACAATCACGTGGATTGACCATCCAAATAGGAGTCACACATGAGGTAAAATATCAGATAAATAAAATATTATTTATACCTAAAATATTGACCTTATGTGTATTATATAATCATTGATAGTAAATTCCAACAAATATTGAGATGTACAGTTAAATCAATGAGAATAATTAACAAAGTTAGTCAATCATGTCAACATTTTATGTCAAGTAGTATTACTCATTACATAAATACTTATCTTACAAATCTCATTAGCATATTAAGATTTTGAATAATGTTATATGGATCTAATTTACTGATCTAACTATTGACAACCATTACATAGACAATGGATCCCAATATTTGTTTAGACCCATAATTAATCTAATGACTATAATTAATTAGAATAATAAATTGAATTTAAATAACATTATTATAAAATTTTAAAGCAGATGGTGGTTCAACATGATAATTTTTTTATTATAAAATAATTTGGAAAAATTATAATAATATTTATTAAAATAATAAAACTTAAAGGTACGGCACCGAATATTTTCTTGGCAACAGTTGTTAAGTCCAAAATATTAACATTTAGTCAAAATGACTAGGGGAACAGTCCAGTGATTATAGAGTAAGTGGTCAAACTACGCAACGTTTATTTTTATATTTAGACCAACGTAGGAGCGACAATGACAATGACAGTTATAGTTATGCTCCAGTTTAATTACACTGATTAATCATAGGGTGTTTAAATTTCTGATCGACTGTAAGTTCCTATCCTATCCGACCTTACCTTACTCTATTGAACGACTAGCAACAAAAATTGAGTAGAAATACGAAAGAATTTTTGATTTTTCGATAATTTTCGGATAACAATGCAGAATAGTCATCCATTGCCGCATTCCCACCCTACCCTATCCGCAATAATTTTTTAATATATATATATATATATATATATATATATATATAAACTAAAAAAAAACCCTAAAACCTAACCACGTGTGGAACAATTATAATTTTAATGTATTTCATATGATTTAAAGTTTAAAGTTAAATTAATTGTTATTGTATTTGTATAACAATTATGGTGGATTGATGTTCATACTTTCTTGTGTTTTATTATAATTCTTGTTATAGTTGTTTTAGATTTAAGTGTTAATTGATTTATTGTGTTGTTAAATTGGTGCATGTTATTTAATTAAATTGTTAAAATAATCTAAAAATTAATTGTTACAAAATATTTACCGGGTAGAAATACCACACCTGTCGAATAAGGTAAGTTAAGAAAAAACTCTTCTGTAAAGTATAGAGTAGGAAAACGAAAGAGCATATTTTTTACTCGTAGGGTAGGGTGAACACCCCTAATTAATCATGGTCAAAGCTCTGATCTTTTCCGGTGAAAGGAAAAAGAAGGTGTGCGATGGTGATTAGGGTTTAATGTTTTAGATTTAGTTAAAAAACGAAAGAGAAATCTAATACAGGAGACTCCTGTTACCCTTGAATTTGGGAGATGTACACATGCTTATCTCGGTAATCGAGAAGACAGTTTCCATGACTCTTAACGCTTTGCGCCTAAGATTAGAGTTTAGTTGAAGTTGAATGTTGTTCTACGGCATTAATACACGTATAATTGGACATACATCACATGTCTTCTTGTTTGAGGACTACTTTATAAGATTTCTTGAGTTTCTTATATATATATATATATTGGATGCATAATTGTTATGTGAACATAAACATGAACATAATTACCCACAAACCATCAGGACTCTTGTGAGATTTGAACTTAAAGATGAAGGTATTACCTGCTCAAATACTACCATTTAAACTACTATTTTTTAAGCTCCATCGTTAGTCTTTCATGAATGAGAAACATAAAATCACATAGGTAAACTAACTCGAGATTTCTATCACCTTCATGATGCATATTTCTTGACTAGATCAGATAAGTAAGATCACGATCAAGAGACTTTTAACATCATATTAATACCGGGTTATCAGCTTTTTGCTTTGTACTTCCCTTAACCACGTCCCCATGCAGTCAGCTGAGACCTAAAATTGAGCAACTGGAAAGACACTAAAATAAGAATAAATATGATAAGGAGAAGATTAAGGGTAAATTTCGGTATTATACCTCTAAATTTTATAATTTTAATGGGTATTTTACAACAAAAAAATTTATAACTTTTGTGGATATTTTTACGGTACCGAATTTTTTTTCTGAGTACCGTAAACTACTCCATATGATTTATTCCAACCAGTCCCTTCCATCCATTATTTTGTAAAAATGAATTGACAAAGCCACAGGTGATTGACATGTGAGCTTGGATCGAGCGAGGATATCTTCTTCTTCTTCTTCTTCTTTTTCTTCTTAAGGGGGATTAAGGTTAATTTTAATGAAATTTGAATGGATTTGGTAGAGATGCCATGGGGGAAGTTTCTGTTAATTAATTTGCCTTTGACCTCTTTATGTGTTAGCTCAAGGTTTCTTATGCCCATTAACAAAACTGACATCATTCCTCCTATTTGTCAACAGGGAGTTAAAAAGATGGTGAGATATGGTGGCCATTTTACCACCAATCTTATCTCATTTGCTTCATTTTTAAGTCTATAATGATAAAATATTAATATAAGCCATGTTAAAATGGAAAATGTGGAAGAAACATCCCAAAGACTATATATAGTCCATAATTTCTGGTTGAATTTTACTTATCAAACTTGTTTTTGTTTCCTTTTTCTGCTCGACAGAAACTTCCTAACTACCTCCCCACGCCAAAAATAAAATAAAATAAAAAGTTACTGTAACGCTCTGATTTACCCAAATATGCTACTGTAAAGCTCCATCTTTCACGAGCACGTTACCAGAAAACTCGATTACTAACATGTTCAATTACTTGATATTAAAGTAAAAAGAATATGTTTGATCCTATATTTCCACACTACGTATACGATTCCCAACAATCCATATATGTGATTATTTAGTACTACATTGAATAAATAACCACTCTAGAGATTAATCTTAACAAATTGAATGGGTAATTTGGTGGGGGATACTTGGGGAAGTTTCGGATTAATGAATGTGGCTATGATCTCTCTAAAAGTTAGCTCAAGGTAACTTGTGCCTATTAACAACGGTTACATCACTCCTCCTATTTGTCAAATAGGGAGTTAAAAAGATGGTAAGACATGCTGGCCATTTTTATACCAATCTTACCTCATTAGCTTGATTTTTAAGTCTGTCATGATAAAGAATTAATATAAGTCATGGTATGTGGAAGAAATATCCCAAAGACTATAGTCCACAATTTCTGGTTGGTTTTACTTATCAAACTTGGGACTGCCAGAACTTCTATGTTAGTCCCCCCTCCAAAAAAAAAAAATATATTACCACCCAATCTGGATGAGTTGGTTCATGAGTTTGAGCCTCCACGCAAGTCTCGAGCTTTTTTTAGAACTATTATGAGTTCAACTTCTCTTAAAAATATAAAACTCGAGTTTAAATGATACGTGTAATTTGTAGGAGATTTTGTACATTCGAAATTTGTGTTGTACTCAAAAACCCATAAAACTTATGGTTGGAACGATTTACCGTTACTCAAAACAAATGCCACTTACCACAAAGCCTATCCATCACACTGTCATTTCTCAGTTAGTTTTATACATGAGATGGGGCATAATTCCTTTTACTTTTTATGTCTGCTCCTAAGCAGCTCCTCCATTACCAGTACTGGGAAGGCCAAGACACCAAATTCATCAGTGTTATGTATATGATTTAATAGTATGGTGTAGGCTTGTACAATTGGAAAACCGATGGGGACTATAGGGCTTAGCGATTAGCCCGAAAATATTATCAGTGAGATAATGAAGAGCTAACAACTTAATTGGTGAGAGACACAGTAGCAGCCATCATCAGTGAGATAATTGTTGGACCAAAATAATTTTTTAGTAAAAATTAAATTTTTGGTCGACTTTGAACCGAAATTAAAGTGAGACTTACTTATCGTTTCAAGTAAATTTTTATGAGTTCGTGTTCTACTCTGGGAGAAGAATAACGTAGTGTATTTACTTGCTCAAATTGAGTAAGAATAGAATTAGAAAATAGGCTCAAAAATTATCCTCTTAGAATGTGAAAATAAGAGGTCGGACAATTTGAGATTTGACACTAATTCCACATTGGTTGGACAAGAAATTTTGCATGTGCATATATATGTCAAATTTACATTATGGGTTGGGATCTAAGGGATACCACATTTTTGTGAGTGAAGCGAGCACTTACATAGATTTCTGTTCAACTGGACACGCGGCTGGGTTTGGGTGTAATTTAGACCCAACCTAATTTTTTTGGAAAAAAATTGTTTAACGAATTGGGTTCGAACGTCTTAACCCGATTTTAATTTATGTCCATTGGAATTCAAAATTCGCACTGGTTCAAAATTTTGGTTTCTCTTGAGTCTGATTTTTTGAATTTGTGTCTATTTAATAAGCAGACATCAATGGTGTTTTCTAGATTACATTATGTCTTATGGGTTGAGTCTATTCGCATGGTGGCTGTCCGAATCTGTTACAATTCTGTTTATAAATAATACAGATTCATTATCATTATGTACTTATGTTTTTAGTTATTAAGACAATCTTCATAATTTGTGGCATTAGTAGTTTGCATATTTGAGAGAACAACACATAATTCTAGTTCGCTGGACATTTAGATTAGAGTGCTACTTTTAAGTGCGTGAAGATCATTGTATCTTAGAAGACAGACGCGTAGATTTCCATAAGCACCAAGTGTGGGAGTAAAATCTATCTTAATAACATAGTATCAAACACTAGCTTTGATCTACTTGATCTGCAAACGGGTCAGTTTTATTTATTGTTTTATGTGTTAATGTTTCATTTTTGATTGTTACTATTTTATTCTAAATTGTATGATACAAATTAGAGATTTCAATAAATAATTTTGTTATAACTCGGAAATACATCCTACAACAATCACATTCACAGCTTAATGGCCACTTGGGGAGAACAATATACAGGAACAGTAGGCCAAATGCTTTTCTCTATTGTAAAACAATTTCTAACATGTATAACTGTCATCTTCAGATATAAAGAATGAGGGACAATACATATTACATCAATAATGGCAAGAGGAAGGATGATAGTTATAGAAAAAGAAACAGAGGATTGAGCAAAGCACCTTGAATTTTGTGGTGGAGGTTGTGTTATTGCTGGTGTTGTTGCTGCTGCTGCTGTAAGCTGATTAACTTGAAATATGCTCCATCCTTGTTCTCCACAAGTGTAGAATGAGTCCCTTGCTCTACTATCTTTCCTTCTTGTAAAACTGATATTTGATCAGCATGTTTTATTGTAGACAGTCTATGCGCCACAATGACTGTTGTCCGGTTCTTCATCAATCTGTCTAAAGCTTGTTGCACCACACGCTCTGATTCCACATCTAGAGCACTAGTGGCTTCATCCAACAGCAAGATTGCAGGGTTCTTTAGAACAGCTCGGGCAATGGCCACTCTTTGCTTCTGGCCACCAGAAAGTTGCACTCCTCGCTCTCCTACCTTTGTCAAGTAGCCCTCAGGAAGAGCGCTAATGAAATTATGTGCATTGGCAAGCTTAGCAGCTTCAATTACTTCTCCTTCCGAGGCTCCCTCTTTACCATAAAGAATGTTTTCATAGATTGATGTAGCAAAGAGAGCTGGTTCTTGTTGGACTAGGCCAATGTGCTTTCGTAGATACTTGAGCTTTAGTTTCTTAATGTCTTTGCCTGTAAAGAGTTTAATACAATTCAATGCCAACAAATTAAAATTTTGCAGGATCATTCATATATACTGCCCCTCTTTGTTTTTTATCTTTTGCAAATTTATTATAAATGATACAGCGAAGCACATATTGACCCAGAAAACTCACCATCAACCATCACCTTCCCAGCTGTTGGATCATAAAATCGGAGTATGAGAGCGAGTACAGAGCTTTTGCCAGACCCACTTTGCCCCACAAGTGCCATGCTTTTGCCCGCGCGCACTCTTAGATTGAAGTCCTTGAAAATCTGAACATCAGGTCTTGAAGGGTAGCTAAACTCAACCCCCTTTAGCTCGATTGTACCCTCTACCCTTGTTAGCTCATCCCCAACATCACCCACTACTTCTGTCTTACGGTCCAGCACCTCAAACACTGAAGCCACCATTTGATTCCCTTTCAAAATGTCTGGTGCCATTGCCAATGTTTCACCCATCGCTAAAGCCGTTACAATCAAAACCATGAATGATTTCATGACAGATTTAAAGGTAGAAATCTCCTTTCCCATCAAAACAGAACCATACCTACAGAAATTTAAACGATTAAGCATTGAAGTTCATTTTAATCTCTCAAAGCATAGCGGAGTAAGCATATCTAAGTATTGGGATAGGTATCTTTTTTGAACTATTAGCCAATTTGATCAAGACACTTCAACTTTAGTATCTACAAGGTCTTGGGCACTCTTGAGCTTTTATATTCAGACCCCAATTACTCATATCGAAAACTGAAGCCTGTCTGGTGTCATTGCCAAACATGTTAACAGAATTCTCTGTTCGCTGCCCGATAATTTCCACAGGAAAAATTAAAAAGATGAAGTTATAACATAACGCAAGGCCATATCTAAACCCACATACCATAATGCAAGGCCATAGGCTGAGAAGATGAAGAACTGAGAGACTCCATACAATATTCCAGCAATCTGACCACGAGTGAAAGAATGCCTTGAAGGCTCAACAAGCTCACGAGCATAAAGGTCAAGTACCTTCTCCTCAGAACAGAATGCAGCAACAGTACGAATGTTACTCACTGCCTCACCAGCAAGCATGTTAGCTTTGAGATAGGCTTTGCTCAAATTAACACCATAACCTTTCATGAAGAGTTTCTGAAACAATAGGAAGAACAATTAATGAGATGATGTCTCATAATGTTTTTTTTTACTGCAACTGAAAATGATACGGAGATGAAACCTCGCTGATGTGACCGCTAATGATCAATGGATACGTGGCCATCACAACAAGTGTTAGCCTCCAATTCAAGATGAAGGCGATGATGAATGCGGTGACAACCAAACCAACATTCTGTAGGAGAATTGTAGTGCGATCAACGACTACAGTTCTCAATAAAGTTGCATCACTCTCTAAACGTGATGCCAACATGGAACTTGTGTTGTTTGTGTCATCAAACCATCCAATCTCATTTCTCAAAATTGCTGCAGTCAAATACAGAAAGGGAATTAAGCTAAAACATCCTTCAAGATCCAGGAACAAAGTTGCTTTTAATCAATTTAAGGGTTGTTTGGACACCACATGGACAAGCATAAGCATGAATGTTTTGCGTTGGTTAGCAGCTGATATGCATGAAGTCATTTGGGCAAGGCTATTGCAGAAAATATAAAATAGAACTTGGGATAGGGATAACTAAATAAATTCATCACCACAAATATCTACATGTATTTACTTATATCGGCTTAAAATAGCAAATGGTCAAAATTTTACCAGAAAACATCATTTCTCGTACACGTAGAGTGACCCGCTCTCCCATGATGCCAAAACAGAGATGTTCAATAGCATGAACAATGACTGTTATAACAGCACCCCCACAGAAGAGGAATGCTATCTTCTTCACTTCATGGCACGTTGTGTCCCAATCCATGTAATAAGATACAAGAGCCTGAGTGACACCAAGAGCAAATAGAGGCATCTGGGCACCAGCAATGAATGCACAAAAAGTGCCAACAACACCGTATATCCAGTCAGGACCAACCATGGAATACAATCTTCTCGAAGAAACATGTGGTGACTTAGTGATCTCTGCTCCATCAGTACCAACTCGGCTAATAGATTCTTTATCAGAATGAAAACTTGTACCACGGCTTATAGTTGTAGTGCGGGATAATTCACGTGAATATCTAATGCTACCTTCACGTGAATACCTTATGCTACGAAAAATAAAAAAGGAAAAGAAATAAGATATCAGTGCACATCAAGTAAATTTTCATCAAATCTACCATTGAATACAAGAGGTCTTCGGTGAAAGGCACCACTCAGTTTGTTTCACTAGTTAAAGAAATCTCAGGAGGAAAAGCACAATCTATTGCATTGGACAAGTATTGAAAAGGATGTGTAACTATGTAACAGAATTAGTAAATGCGAGACACATATGCGCAGGCAACCACCACATTTCCTGAAAAACTGACTGTGAAAGTATAGATAAAGAAGAAAAAAAATGAGAAAAGGAAGCACTGTTTGGTTTAGCTTTCTTCTAGGCAAGGATAAGATACATTTTCAACATGGCATTGTTCTGGTATTAATGTTGGTCCAACATCTGAAGAATTATCTCCCAAATCTAGCCATCACATATACCAAAAGATTTGAAGTGACCCCCAAATTCTGCTTAACCTATCATGCAGAGCATTTTAATGTAGCATCAGAAAACCAAAATATCACCGATTTAAATTTGGTACCTATTAGGTCGTCCCATGGTCTGTCCATGTGAGGGGAGGCGATGCAAGGAAGCTGCCTCTTGAAGTTGAACAAGTGATGCATAGGCACTGTTTGGTTTTGAAATGAGCTCTTCGTGGCTCCCAGTTTCTACTATCTTTCCATTTTGAACAACAGCTATTACATCTGCATTTCTGATGGTAGAAAGCCGATGAGCCACAACTACAGTTGTTCGCCCCACCATTACACGATCAAGTGCCTCCTGCACACTCTTCTCAGACTCGGCATCAAGTGCACTTGTAGCTTCATCCAACAGAAGTATCGATGGATTTTTCACTATGGCCCGCGATATTGCAATTCTTTGCTTCTGTCCACCTGATAGTTGGATCCCTCTCTCACCAACCTGAAAATGAACATTCAACATTAGTCCTTGGAGAAAAATTCTCTTCCCCTTCATGTTCATCTTCTCCATGCCTTTATACAGTTTTCATGGACAAAATGAATAGATATTAGGAATTGCATTGCGTCCTATTTAATACCACTTTTGAAGTGATCTGTAAGAGTAGCATGCACAACTGGGAATTAAAAAAGCCACTTGTCCTTTTACAACTGACAAGTCAGTCTTCCTTCAAGTTGCCCCCTGACACAAGCATAATTATGTCCATATCAATACGACATACTTCCTAACTAACGCACAGGAAATCAGTACCTGAGTTTCATATCTATCAGGAAGGTTGTTGATGAAAGTGTTGGCCTCTGAAAGTTTTGCAGCACGTGTAATCTCTTCTAGGGTGGCATCATCTTTTCCATAGAGAATGTTCTCCCTTATGGTTGTGGCAAAAAGGGCAGGCTCTTGGTTAACCAAACCAATTTGCTGCCTAAGCCAATTCAGGTCGAGCTCCCTGATATCAGTTCCATCTACTAGTATCCGTCCATAGAGGGGCTCATAAAAGCGCTCGATCAAAGATATAACAGTACTTTTGCCAGAACCACTCGCTCCCACAAGAGCTACAATCTTACCAGAAGGAATATCAAGACAAAGCTTGTTGAAAATTTCCACATCAGAACGAGATGGGTAACTGAAGCATACGTCCTTGAATTGGATGTGACCATCTAGTGTATTCAGTTTCTTGCCAGTTTTGGAGCTGGTTTTGCTGACCGTATTTCGTTCTATCATCTCAAAAATGGGATAGGCAGCTGTCTTTGCCCGAATAAATGCAGTGATGTCTGGTGCTGCCTGCCCTAGGGAACTGAGAAACAATCAAAAGTTTAACAGCTGTTGCTATTTTCCATTTCATGAAGCTTAAATAAAAATGGCCATACAGGTAGTAGAGCATGCATAAATGTGCTTGGTGGTCATGCAGAATTGAAATCTGCATGTCATTATGTATGCAGAGAAAATGTGACTAAATTAATATATTGAACCTTTTCATAATAAAATCTTTCAACAATCTAAGCAATTGTTAGATTAACCAGGGCTTGTTCAAGGTTGTCCCTAAGACCAGAACTTGTCACAATTTGTTTTCATAGCCTCTGATGGCATAGTGAATTCTCTGTAATGGCACCATGATGGAACTGCAGCAACTGCCATAAACTCATTGTATGATCTTTATACAATAAACCAAATAGCAATAGAAGTATGACAAGGAGCTATGTGAGAAAATGCTATGTGCACTACCCAATGTATTACAAAATCTTCTTCATTCAGAAGGTGGAGCAGCTCATAATTACGTTTCCAATTTTATCATATGCATCTCAAAGAATGAAAACTTCTTTGCTGTTAAATATGCCCATAAAATTATAATCAGAAAGTGGAAAAAAAAAATTAAAGTAACACACAATCCTATATATTGGTCAAATTCAACAAGATATGAAAGCCAAGTTCGAATTTTTCATTGCTAATCTGCCTGAAGTAGAACTAGACAGAGTTCTGATAATTTTAGGAATAAGCAATATGAAAGATAGATAACCAATAATATTGTATGATCTACAAACATTTGAACTGTTCACAAGCATCACCAATAATGACAGTTTCTCTTACTATCATGCTTCGTAAAACAAGAAACGCTATAAGCCCATAACTTAAATTAAATGATAGGAAGTGCTGTAACTTACAGGCCAGCGATAACAACATTGAGCATGGTTGTGAAAGAATCTCCTCCATTGGCAATACCCTTATGCACAACAATGCTAGTGAACCAAACAAGTAATGACCATGAAAGAAAAAGGACACAGTGCAAGGTGCCCAGTCCAAGACCCTTGGATAGTCCTGCTTTTTTCCCATACTTGTATGTGTTCAAGAGTGCTGTTGTATACGATTTTACGGCCCTTTCTTCTCCTGCAAATGCTTGGACTGTTCTGACATTTCCAATCACCTGAGAATTACACAGAATCACGAGGGAGAGAGAGTTCTCAAATGAAAATCATACTAGAATACTGGAAAACTTAACACTGCCAATTTTAAATGTCAATTTTATGAAAACTATCGTAATATGGAAAGTGTCATACACTTAATCTATGTAGTTTTCTTGCTAAAGACTTTTTCAATCCAAGCCCTTTGCCAAAAGTTTTATATTGTTATGTACATAATCGCATTTTTGTATATAAAATCTCCCGTAACAGGCCCCATCATACCCTGCAAATTGCATATGAAGATAGAGAGAGAGAGAGAGAGAGAGAGAGAGAGAGGACCTCCTCAGCAATTTCTCCAGCCTTGACATAGGATTTTCGGACTCTGGCAATAAGGCCAATTGTCACGTAGGCGTAGACACCACCAGCAAGGGCAATCAAAGGTACAATGGACAATGTCACAAGACTGATTTGCCACACTCTGAGGAACCCAATTGCGAAGCCTGCAATGAAGCGGCTAATGTAGTGCATGAAGTTTCCCACCTGCATCACCCATCCAACCGCTAATGCAAATATCAATGTGTGTGTGTGTGTGTGTGAGAGAGAGAGAGAGAGAGAGATAGTTGCCATTAAAAGAGCTCAGGAGTCAGCAAATATATTGCAGTAAGTAAGCATAGACTTCGGATGGAACCAAGTATCGAAGTTTTGCAATTTCATTTTTTGTTTTTTTTGGTTCTGGGGGTGGTCGAATCGGTTTAAGTATACTTCGATTAATCTCTTTTTTAATTCGATCAAAAGGCATGTCATCTATGTTAAGAGAAGATTAGAATATTTATGAGAAATAAATTTCTTATAATTTGATCTTAAAAAAATTAGCATATTCAATAATGTTTAACAATAATTGGATAGAAAATTTAGCATTTAAAAAGAAAAAAATTGGCAGTTATTTAGAAAGAAATGAAGGGCAACATTTTAAGAGCGGAAATCAAACCCCCTCCCCCTCCACTTCTTTATTAATATTAATAGTATAAATTAAAAATGATTGGATAATAAATCCATATATGAAAAGGTAGTTGGGTGGGTCTCAAAAATTGAGATGAGCCTCAACTTGGGCTATCCACTTGTTCTCCAACCCAAATTTTATGGGAGCATTGAACTCTGTTTTTTTTTTGGTCGGACTATTGCATGAAGAAGGGGGATTCAAGTAGGAAAAAAAAATATTATTTAAATTTAATATAAGAACCTAATTTAATTAGTAACAGGTGCCATTTAATATTGAAACCGACAATAAATTCTTGCATTGAATTAGATCCAGGTTCGTAACATTATGCCCAAATAGAGTGAATGGAAGAGGTTAACTCTAAAGTATTACTAATGGAAATTTAGATAAATTATAAAATTCAATAGTTTGAGTTTGAATTTGAATTTTAACAATTTTTTAAAATTCAGGTTATGAAAATTTTATCTTTAATGAATAATCTAATTTTGACGTGAATGATTTACTTTTGACTAGATCGAAAATTAATCGAGATGTACATAAGTTTGGGGCTTTTTTAAATTTTTGTGAGTTAAAAAGAAAGTTAATTCATCCACTTTTTCAACCTTCCTACTTTCTTTCTTACCAATCATGATGTTTTATCAATCCTTTTAATTTTTATCTTTTTAATTTTTAATTTTTTTAATTATTTATCGTATCAAATGAAACATAAGTGTTTCCATCTGCCTCAAAATTCACGTGGATGTGAAATTTTAGAAAAGCCGGTGAAACTCCACCCGGCGAACCCAACAAACTAAATAATGGCGATGTCACTCACCCATAAATGCAAAACAAAGACATTTACTACCTCCTAATCTGTTACAGAGAAATAAAAGCACCGTCAGATTTAGACTCCATTGAAGTCAGCAACAGGGTAGGGAAAGGAAGAGATAAACATTTCCTTAAAATGTTAGACGAAATTAAAATTAGACTTAAAAATTTTAATTATTAAATAGATAATAAATTTCAATAAATATTGAGACCTATAATAAAATCAATGATTGTTTAAAGGAGAACATGATCGATTACAAATATTCATGATCGATCGTAGAAAAAAGTGGTATCTGTCTTAACATATCATAATAGATCATTTCATTTCAAGTTGTAAATTACACTTTCACAAAATTATAAATTAATCTTAAAAAGTAAGAATGAGTAAATTATATAAATGACTTTTAAATTATGACCATTCTGTCAAGGCTTTGAACTAATTTTCATATTAATTAAGTCTTTAAACTTTAAAATTTTAACAATTAAATATTTATTTCAACAGTTATTTAATTTTTTAGAATATCTCATGTGTTCGCCACATGGACAACAAATTAAAAATATTTTAAATTATTCATTCAAAACCTTTCAAACGAATAACCTCAGTCATTATACTTATCAATCGAAATCCTAAACATAAAATCTCTTTTATACCAATCAAATGAGGCGGATCACTAAATTCTTTGATGTGACATAGAATATAAATGTAAATTTAATTGTTAAAATTTTAGAGTTTAAATGTTCGATTGACATGAAAGTCATAACTTAAGGGTTATTTATATTGAAAAATTAAGGATAAATTTAGAAAAAAAATATTAATTATGTTTTAATTTTATTAAATAACAGATATTATAGAACAAATTTTTTTTTTATAAAACGACATATATTTAGAAAAGTAGGGAATATAATTTACTCTTAACACCTTTGTCAAAAAGTGTGCCCAAAACACACTAAAGCTTAATTACACTAACTGCCACATCTTAATCAAGAATTAAGAGATTGGACCCAAAACAAATTCTTACCTTCTCGGAGATGGCATCTTGGACAACAATAATGTCACCAGTAATGGCAGAGATGACTTCTCCGGTGGAAGCTTCGGTGTCGAAAAGACTAATGTCTTGACTTAACATCGATCTCAGATATGCCATCCTCATCTTCGCCGCTTGTCTCTCTCCCGTATACATCCAACAAGCCACCTCTGTGATTATTAAACTCAATCAATTAATATTTTCATTACCAAGGAATAAGAAAAAAATTAACTAACTAATTAACAACTGATTAATAATAAATAAATAAATCATTAGATCATACCTGTCCATGATGAAAATAATATAACCACACTGAGATATACAAAATCCAGCGAGTACTGCAAAACAAATTGAATGAAAGAACTGTGAACTCCGAAAAACAATAAAGAACGATTTAGTGAACGAGACTCCTATGGCTTTTGAAAACGGATGTTAAAAAAGTTTGGAGACCTTGGCAACTCTATGTGAGGCTTGTGCTGGGAAAAGATAAGCCAGTCCAATGACGTTGATCAACTTTCCAAAGAATATAAAGAACACCGGGACCGAAGCACCATGTATACAAGCACCGATTGATCCCACAAACATAAGAAAGTAGTCGTAAGCGTCGGCGAATGAAAAGAGCTTAATCAGTGGTACTTTTGAGATTTTCTTGTCTTCTCCTTCTGTATTCTTTTTGTCATCTACGGTTTCGCCGGAAAATGGACCTTGGTGGCTCATTTTGGCCACGGGCAAAGTGAGGGAGAGGGTGGTTTGAGGTGTCTGGTTTTGTCAAGGATCTGTTGGAGAAGAGAATGGGTTGATGACTCTACTGGAAGTGAATGGCTTGATGGGTCATAATGAATATGGGCCAATACTAGCTACCTGTACTCAGATTATTTTGTGCGGGACATATGAAGTTATGAGGCAGCAACCACCTACCATAAGAGATGCGGTGGAGATTTTGGTGATGAGTTTAAGACAGTTGTAGTCATTTATAGCCTCTCTCTCTCAGATTTGAACTCCGGAGTCCGGGCCCACCCCTTCTTTCACAAAGCCATGTCTAAATTTTATCGGTGTTAGAATGGCTCTCCTCCTCCATCTCTCTCTCTCTCATAGCAACCGATGGTAATAAGTTAGGGTTGTCGAGTCCGAAACCGACAGAATATGGTTAGGGTTTCGTTTTTAGTCTTAAACTTCCGATCATAATGGTTGCAACTACATTCGTTTAATAAATCAATCGACAAATATTCGATAAAATATGATTCATACAGTACGATACTGAAATGACGTAAATTCATATATCTATATATATTATAAACAAGTCAAGTATATATTAAATAAATTTTGACGATAATAGATAACTTACACTTCTATCAATTCAATCTCACCATTTGCATTCTGAATCTGGTGCATTTTGTACCATAAATATGATTCAAAATTAACATGAAATTTACGAATTATGATCGAGCATTTTTTAACATATATTCGTATATGATATGACTCGTTAATACGAATAATAAATGGATTAAATTAGTGTCAAATACAAACAACAAAAAATTAAAACAATTAACGCATTTAAGTAGTATTATAAAAATAAAATGTCAATTTTTTATAGTAACCTAATTCTTGTACAAGAAAAGATATATTTACCCATTTTTATTATTATATTTATTAAGTTCATTTTTAATTTTTAGAACAAGTATTAGCATAGGTTTGATTAAGTGATAAATAGATTTTAGAAATAAAACTAAGTGTCAAATTTTTTATTCACGGGTTATATAATTCAACGTAAATCTGACACGAAAATCAATAAATCGACACAACACGACCCGATTAGTTTAACGAATTATATTAAAATTGATTAGTGCTCAACATAAACCTGAAATGACACGACACGAACTCGACCAAGACATCAAGATTGGTAACCTTATGATTTCTCCAACTCAGATTTACTTAAATATAATAGAATACAACTCAATTCAATTTTAATTCCAACTATTTAGAGTCGGGGTACTTTAATTTAATAGTCGATGTTTTATTAACACTGCTATAATAAAATGTATTTTGATTTTCTTAAGCTAGTTTTCAGATAGGATATTATTTAGTTGATAAATTCAATTATTTAAAATATAATGAGAGTCATAAAAGCATGGATGAGTATACAGTTGAGAAGTATAGAGGTGGGCTGCAACATGTAGGTGTGGGCAATGAGGTCAAGGTGGTTGGATGCATGGTGGGTGGGGCAATGAGGTCTCCGCATCATTAAATGCTCCCCGGGTATTTTACTTATTTATATATGCTTACTCGTTATTATTTAAATTTTTATTTAAAAAGTATTGAGTCATACATAAAAATACATATCTATTTCAGGACCTTTATAATCAATATATATTTAAAACTTAAATAGTTTCTCACATAGTTATACATGAAATTTAATTTTTTATATTTAATTTTTATGGATGATTGTTTGTCTTGATACATATAATATGACGATTTCAAAGCAATAATCCCACTCTCAATTATTATAAATTTGACTGTTTTTTCTCTCCCGCTCTATGTGATACAGGTATCTTCTATGCATCTGGGCCAAAATATTGAAAAATAGGAGATTGGTATATCGTTTTACAATTTTAATTGTTCTTTGTTCAGTATTTCTCTTTCTAAAATGTACCATATAGGTGATCATTCTTGAATTTTTAGGAATGGTCCAATGATCAAGTCTTTTTTTATTATAAATATGAGGTTTCAAATTTGATACTTCTTACACCCTTTAAGAGCCGGGCATGCTTATTCCTCAAAAAATATATTCTTAAACTGACATGAGTTACGGTGATCAGTTCAGAGCGAAATAGTCGGTGCAAATCTGGACACACTTTAACAAAGAAAAAATAAACTGATTCCGAGCAGCTTGGATTGGTCCACAACCTTAAACAATTGATCGTTTAGCTTATTCCATACAGCAAAGCATGTTCTTAAAACTTAGGTATTAGGTTGACTTTGAAGTCTCCAGTTCAAAAAAAAGTTGACGTTGGAATCTAATATCTAGAATAAGCTGAGCTTTAATTACTTCATTAATCACCTAAAGGCTGAAAATAATTGCTAAGGAGGCATTAGTTATGATGCTGCTAACTTTCAAGCTACCCACATGATGTGATACAATTTAAGCACTTGAAATGATTATACTTAAATCGAACTACTAAGAAAAAAAATTCCGAATTGTTATTGAATTATGGATCGTTTAAATTCAATTATTTATTTACTAAAGTGATTTCAAACTTGAATTTAAAGTACATTTAATAAACAACACAAGTTCAACTTGGTCTTGAATCCAAGTGTATGCTCAAATTTAATCTCAAATACAACTTCAACATCAATTGATTTAATCAGACAAGCCAATTTGAGTTTTGTTCGAGTTTTAACGAAAAATTAACAATTTAAACAAATATTTGAAATTTTTTTGGACACGATTTCAAATATATTCTTAAATAATATAACACCCAGTTCAATTTAGTTCATTAACACCACAAAAATAATATGTTTTTCTTGTTCTTTTCTAGGTCTTGGATAACCCCATCATGTGATAAGAGGGACAGGTGACCTACCCAAACAATTATGAGCATGCATTATTACGGTAGAAACATACCTTTAATCAACCCAAAAAGTTTAAACGATAATAAGAATGAACCGTAAATTCAAATCTAAATAATCTTTTTAAGGTTAAGTCATGAGAGATTTATCTCTCTCATAAATATTTTAATCTCGACATAAATGACTCGTTTTTAACCGAACAAAAAAAAAATTAATCAAGGTGCATATAAACTAATTCGAACACCTTAACTGTTGAAAAAAAAAATACATTGTTTTCAAGGCTCGGAAGATCATGATCCTCCGATTCTTTCTCTATTTTTTTTTGTCTTCTGATTTTATTTGACAGTGCCTAACAACAATGAATTGCCAATTAATATGCTTACTTCGATTTAGAAAGCACTAACCAACATTAAATGGAAGGTAGCTGCATATATGGAAAATAATGATTCTAACTAGCTTACTTGTGCAAGAAAATCTAACTTGTTTGTGTATAAGGAGAAGAGAGCGGGTGGTATTTAATTTCAGCAAATAGCCGCAATAGTTAGTTCAGTGATAGCACTTAACTTTTTTGCACAAGTCGTGATAACTGTTGGGAAATATTACAATTGATCTCGAGAGAAATATTATTTCTGAAAGAGACTCTCGAGCCATTAGAGTGGTGGTCGGGCCGCTCGAGCTGTCTGCCAGCGAACACACAGGGCGATTCCTACAACTGTTTTAGGTAGAAAATCAAACAAAAAACTTTATTTACTTTTTTTTTTAAAAAAAAAAAAAAGAGAAATACACATGGAATTATTAGACTACAAAAAACATTTGTGTTAAGTTTTATTCTTTTCTTTTTTTTGTATATTTTATTTGGAATTTAGTTATTGGTATGTTGGTACATTAAGACACAACTTAGAAGAACTCGTTAAACATTACATAAGATGAATTTAATTATTAATGGGGCGAGTATAAAATAGACTGAACGTAGTAATTAGTGAGATAAATATAACAATGGTAGATTTAGTAGTTTTATTTTTATAATTGGGAGTTTAATAAGATGGGAAGTGATTTTTGTCAGGCCCAAAGTATTCCGCCACATAGTAGGCCCAACTTGGGCTACAAAACATGTCAGTCTATTTTAGGCCCAGGCCTAATATCTCTTTTCAATTTCCTAATATTGTTATAACATTAAGAATATATTAAATAAATAATATATACAATATTAAAAACAATAGTATCAAGGGTGACCATTGACCATTACAGATTCACAAATAATCAAATTACTAACTGCAGTACCTGCTAGTTTTACTGCAAAATTTCATAGCAGAGCTTCAGACCAGAGGAACACAGAGAAGCCCCCCCACTCCTTCTCTGAAGGTGAGTTTGTTCATCAGCCCTTTCCGTATCATGGCCTTTACAACCGCAAAACATTATCAATCTTGGTGAGCTTACTTGATATTAATCAACCATGCAACTAGAGAATGTTCCTGCAATTACTGTTATTCAGATGTTGTGGAAGCTTGATGAGCAAAGAAATAAGATAAAATTATCACAAAAGGAAGTTTACAAAGTGTCTGCAGCTAAAGAGGCACTACTCAACTGACCCTTAACAATAAACTGGCATGAACAATCACATTAATAGATTATACAAGTCTACAAATCAAGAGCAAGTCTACTGATTCTTCTTTAGCTTGGAAGTAGAAGACTTGGGTCTCAAATCTTGACTAGAAGATCTAACAATGAAAAGAAGCGTTTCTACAAGCATTCCGCAAACTAATCCAAGGATTCCCCCAGCAGCACTCTGGAAATTTGCAAAGAAACATTGATTACAGTACTAATATATGAACAAAATAGAGCTTTATTGAAAGAGACGGTTGTGTGCGTGTGTAATTCTTTTTTGTGGGGTGCACCCACGGGTGCTGGGCAGGGAAAAGTACACAAAAAATTTAAAACAGACACTCAGAGTTACCATAGCAGGACTGTGGCCAAACAATGCTCTGAACGCAGCATATCCAACTAAGTAGCCAGTGAACATTGTAAGCACAACATGCAAACCTGGCAACATGTTAGGTTGATGTCAAATTCAGAAAATCCAAATTAGGACGCAGATTTTAAAAGCTGAAAAAATATTATTACACAAACCTAGGAACACTAATTTTGCATATTTGTGTGTGTGTGTGTGTGTGTTAGATAGAGAGCGAATAAGAAAGGAAGCTCATTTGTATTGAAATTGGCATCAACTAATTTAAATGATAATTAACAGGAAAAGTAAGGCAGCTACATTAGGTAACATCAACACATGAACCGGAAGAGCTAATATCAAAATTAAGAATATTTCACTGGTAAGAATCTTCTCACAAGTGAGTACGAACAATTCTAGAATTAGAAAACAAGCCAAGATTCTTGATAAGCAATAAAACAAAGAAAGGGGAGTGGCAAATATGCCTTATCATTGTCCCCAACACGAGTTGCAGATGTTACTTGCCCATTCCCTATTTTCGGTTATGATCTCTCTCAAATTTGATTAACTATCTCTGATAGATGATTCTTAAGTAACTAGTTAGTGCACACGTGCGTTGCACGTGGATTATTTCGAGTCATTATAATTTTTATTTACTACTTTTATAATAAAATATTGTTTGGTCAAATTATAGTTAAATGACCGTACTGAAATTTTAAGAATATAATGCTCATGTGTGTTGCATATAAACTTTTAAAATTAGTATAATAATTTGTAGTTTTTTTTAGGCATCTTACAAATATCAAAACCTATATTCTATTGTAGATCCGTAAACTGATGATTCAGTTACATAGTGGAGGTCAGACCAAATACAATCAATTAATTATCACAAAACAAATTAAAACAATCAATGATAACAATTCAAATGTATGACAAATAAATAATGATGCATAGATCTAAAATTCTTGAAAATTTTGGATGGCCTCAAACCAATAGTTTAACCCGCAAATTGGCTAATGAATAGTGAAATCTCCTTTTTCAAATTAAAATGCATCACGCATACATAACTTTAAAGAAACTGATTAAGTCCCCTTCTTCAAATTATATACCACGACCATACTAGTGAAAGTCAACCAAAGTTACTTAAACATCTCCACTAAAATGTTTGGTTGTAATTCATATTCGTAATAATTATAACACCATTTTTGTTATTGTTATTACTCTAAACAAACAATTTATTAGACTTTTTAACAGTAACCAAATTCTAATTATTCTTCTGGATGCTAATACACATGGTGTGTTTGTGTCTGATTTTTCTGTGAAAGTTCAATTTTTTTGGTATCATAAAATTTGGGATGAATTCGCAAAAAAAAAATAAAAAATTATAATAGATATTAGTGGAAGAACAATACCACAAAAAATAGAGATGCACCAAATTTTGAGATGCAGAGAGAATTGAATGCGTGGAGTAATGCATGCGAGAGCAGCAGAGAAAGACCGGGAAAAAGATGGAACATTGAGGGTTTCTGGAAGAGGTAAACAAGAGAAAAAAATAAGTTTATTTGGAGTGGGGGAAGATGAAGATGAAACGCCAGGGGAGAGAGAGAAGATTGGGAGGCATAGGTTTTTTTTTTTNTAAGAATATTTCACTGGTAAGAATCTTCTCACAAGTGAGTACGAACAATTCTAGAATTAGAAAACAAGCCAAGATTCTTGATAAGCAATAAAACAAAGAAAGGGGAGTGGCAAATATGCCTTATCATTGTCCCCAACACGAGTTGCAGATGTTACTTGCCCATTCCCTATTTTCGGTTATGATCTCTCTCAAATTTGATTAACTATCTCTGATAGATGATTCTTAAGTAACTAGTTAGTGCACACGTGCGTTGCACGTGGATTATTTCGAGTCATTATAATTTTTATTTACTACTTTTATAATAAAATATTGTTTGGTCAAATTATAGTTAAATGACCGTACTGAAATTTTAAGAATATAATGCTCATGTGTGTTGCATATAAACTTTTAAAATTAGTATAATAATTTGTAGTTTTTTTTAGGCATCTTACAAATATCAAAACCTATATTCTATTGTAGATCCGTAAACTGATGATTCAGTTACATAGTGGAGGTCAGACCAAATACAATCAATTAATTATCACAAAACAAATTAAAACAATCAATGATAACAATTCAAATGTATGACAAATAAATAATGATGCATAGATCTAAAATTCTTGAAAATTTTGGATGGCCTCAAACCAATAGTTTAACCCGCAAATTGGCTAATGAATAGTGAAATCTCCTTTTTCAAATTAAAATGCATCACGCATACATAACTTTAAAGAAACTGATTAAGTCCCCTTCTTCAAATTATATACCACGACCATACTAGTGAAAGTCAACCAAAGTTACTTAAACATCTCCACTAAAATGTTTGGTTGTAATTCATATTCGTAATAATTATAACACCATTTTTGTTATTGTTATTACTCTAAACAAACAATTTATTAGACTTTTTAACAGTAACCAAATTCTAATTATTCTTCTGGATGCTAATACACATGGTGTGTTTGTGTCTGATTTTTCTGTGAAAGTTCAATTTTTTTGGTATCATAAAATTTGGGATGAATTCGCAAAAAAAAAATAAAAAATTATAATAGATATTAGTGGAAGAACAATACCACAAAAAATAGAGATGCACCAAATTTTGAGATGCAGAGAGAATTGAATGCGTGGAGTAATGCATGCGAGAGCAGCAGAGAAAGACCGGGAAAAAGATGGAACATTGAGGGTTTCTGGAAGAGGTAAACAAGAGAAAAAAATAAGTTTATTTGGAGTGGGGGAAGATGAAGATGAAACGCCAGGGGAGAGAGAGAAGATTGGGAGGCATAGGTTTTTTTTTTTTGGGAACATGAGGAGGCTTAGGTTTATTTTGGCTTTAATGTTGAGGGATAAGGATGAGATAGTTGTAATTTTGGAAGATAAAAATAAAAAATAAAAAAATGTTTTTCAAATATGCTCACTTTTTAAAGTAGTATAGATTAGTCATTGTCACAACTTATAGGGAGGAAAAGTTTAAAATTGAAAAACATTGGTATCATCACTGCACAAGAAAGCTCATGGATAGCTGTTGCCCGAGAGAGACCCAAAAAAGATTCAGCAGACATACAGAAACTGGCACACCTGTGCACAATGTTTTTCCTCTTGCCAAGTGCCATTTTTTTATGTCTCAGAACTATAAGATACCTTAGAAGGCTATACTTCAGTTAACAAGAATGAGTGCAAAATATAGATTACAACCCAAGTGGACAATATTGATGCAAACTCACAACTTCTCTATTGAAGGCACAGTTGGCCAACGCATGGAAAAGTACATGAAGAATGGGGCCTTTGTCGAAACTGAGATGAAGGATGTGTTTGAAATGATCATTCTGATTTCAATTTGCCTATACGGGTTTACAAAGAGAAGTGGGGAGTACTCCGGCCAAAACGACCACCACAACCCCCCGTGGTCAACAAGAATTGGGAATCAGATGCGGGCGAATTTCCCGCCAATGGCTGAGATGTCTAGTCGACTCCCTCCCCCTTTGTGGGGGTCCGGACCCCCACAAATGAGTAGAAAAGGGAGGAGGAAAGAGGCCCCCGCGAACCGTTGTGAAAACAAAATTCTTCAGCAAAAACTAACGATTCCCTCATGTTTTTCCATCCATTCCACATTCTCTGCATAGTCTCTCAATTTCCAAAGATTCTACATACAAAATCCTATATGTGATATAACATCATTCACTGCAGCAGTTCCATGAATAGCCACTGCTATCTTCAGAGCCTTTGTCTTCCAAATGGACTTCCTGGGAAGAACTGTTTCTGTACAACATATAATTAATCATGCTCACAAGGGAGCTTAGCAGTCAATAACGTAAACACTACGAGTTTTCATTATCTCCCTGTAAACTCTCCCTACTTAAGCTCACGTTCCAGTCCAATAAAAAGTCGCAAGCATTAATGGATACACAACAACCAAATCAATAACTTGAAACCATACATGATTTACAAACATGACCCACGCATAACTTCACTCAACATGGCAGCAATTTATAAGAATGATCATGGTAAACTATTCTCTTAATTATTACATGATTTCAGAAGTCAATCTTTATGTGTAAGGTACAGACATTTTGAATCTCAAATGGAGGTAAAGGGTACAAACACAAAATATATTAAGTGGTAAAATTATATAAAAAAGAACTCCAATCAATTCAGATAAAAAAAAATCAAATAAAAATGACAGAAATTAATCAGATTCAAACAATTTTACAATAATTATCTCAAAATAAAGAAATTAAAAAAAAAAAAAGAATCACCATTGATGCATAAGTTTTGCTAGTCCATATAGTCCTAAAGCTCTTTCATTTAAAATTAACGATAAAAAAATTTAACGAGAAAATAAACAAACAAAACTCACCAAAACCTAGCTGATCCTTGTAAGCAGAGAAAGGCTCGTCCGCACTCTTTTTGGGAGTAATGTCCTTCACCAACTCCTCATACGCATTCCTCTCCGCAACCTCCGCTAGCTTCCTTAGCCGCGCCTTCAATTCCTCACTCTAAGAAATACCCAACAAATAAATAAGTAAATCAAACTTCAGAGAATAACAATTTCTCGGAAAACCCAACAAAGATTGAGCAAATTAAGATTCTTGGTACCTTCTCTCTGGGTTTGGGGCTGGAGAAGATGAAGTGGGATCCGGAGAGGAGGGCGACGATGTCGGGTCGCGTTGATAGGTTGGAATTGGACCAGAGGGAACGGAGGGATTTGTATGGTACGGAGGATTGGGACGAGAGCTCTGCAGCTGTTTGCTGAAGGTCTTGAGAGAGGTGAGGATTGGCCGAGGCTGAGGCGAGGAACGAGCGGATGGCTTCAGTATTGGAGATCATCAGACCTGCGGTGGTGGTTGTGGAATCTGATGAAGGGGCGGGGGCGGGAGCNAGGATTGGCCGAGGCTGAGGCGAGGAACGAGCGGATGGCTTCAGTATTGGAGATCATCAGACCTGCGGTGGTGGTGGTGGTGGTGGTCATGATCGCAGTTAGCGGATCTCAACAATGCCTTCACTATTTTGCGAGAGGCTAGTTTAATTACCAAAAGCTGCAAATTGTTTTATTTTTGTCCCTTTCCCCTTTTTTCTTTTTTCTTTTTTTTTTTTCGTTTTAGCAAAAACTTTTTTGTTATTCTTATTATAGTTTTGAGTTTGTAGTACATTGCCTTTATTTATTATTAATTACAAATTTATTACTATTTTTCTTTTATTTTTTTACTTTAACCGGCTATAATTTTACCTTTATCACATTTAACCATCTATAATTTCTCCTATTTCACATTTAACTATCTACAATTATATTTTTTAATTTCTTTCCAATTTCATATTTTTTCTAAGATTAATTATAAAATATTCCCTTCAATTTTGGGTAGTTTATCATTCACTTCTTTAATTTTTAATTTCAACAATAGCCTCCTTGAAGTTTAAATATTTTGTAATTAACTCTAACCATTAATTTTAAATCATAAAAAATGATGAAAGTTTGAAATGTAAAATTCATATGATCTCTATTTTGTTGTAAAAACATAATTACTACCAGAAAGTGTGTGCGTGTTGGGTGGAATCAGAGATAGAGGTGTACCCATCATAAACGAACACATGGCAAGATGACGAAAGTGCAACGAGCTGACATGTTTAGTTAGACTCACCCTCGAGTGGCAAAAACTATGGAAGAAGGTCGGCGCCACAGAGGGGACAAGGTACGTCCGCCTCATAGTGGAAATACAAAATGGGTTTGCACAAAAGGATGGGAGTGGCATCACAAGCGACTGGGAGGAATCCTGGTGTGACCTAGATAGTCCGCTCCCCACCCGCCATAGAAGTAAATGCATAGAGTAGGGATCACACGAACAACAAATGAAATATTCCTAACAAAACCCCATGTGAAACCTTCAAAGAAAGACCCTTAGGCATCGTTTGGATGGCGGTAATTTAGATTGGGAATGAGACTCTCACTCTTAAATCCTAGATTATCATGTTTAGAGAATCAATTATTGTAATTTAACCAGGGAATAAGAATTTCAAACTACAATCTTTGTGTCAATTAAGATCCTAATTTTTTTTTTGTCAATTAAACCCCTAAACTCTCTAATTGTGTCAATTGAACTCTTACGTCTGCCTTTGTTAGAATGTGTTACTCACGTGACTATATGATACAAAAAAATAAAAAGACTCAATTGAGACAATTAATGCAATAGTTAATCAAATAGCTCCATGTAATGATAGAGGTGCTGGAAATTCCAACTGTCTTCCAGGCCTCCCCAACATATTCTTGATACAAAGTTCAGGGGTTTAATTGACTTAAAAAAGTTCAGGGACTTAATTAAAACAAAGATCATAGTTTGAGGGTCATATGTATAATTTATTCTAACTATTTTGTGTCACATGAATGACACACTCTATTACTTTTCATTAGAAAATCTAAAGAAGGCAAACAGAATGACTCAATTGACATACTCAGAGAGTTCAAAGATTCAATTAACACAGAGAAAAAAAGTTTACGGGCTTAATTGACACAAATGCCATAATTTAAGGGTCATATATGTAGTTTACTCTATTTAAGGTCTCATCCTAAAACCAATCTTTTTTTTAAAATTAAATTATTTTCTAAAAGAATTTGGCAATGACATTAATTATCACACTAAATTATTGACAATAACCAAACACTAAATATGAAATTACTGTGATAATTGAAACACTGGTATCTCATTACTATGAATGAGATACTGATTCTTAATTAAGATTACTATCATTCAAATGTGCCCTTAACCATATGATGCCCACAAGCCTAAAGTTAACCAATGGCCACACCGTTGCACAACAAGCCCAAGAGATCAAGAGAAGAGATCTCTGCCTTGAGATAATTATATGATCCTCCCAAGGGAGAACTAAGCAATAGGCGCGAACAAGAGTGATTGTATGTAAGACTCCATGTATGTATATTAATCCATAATAGATTATCAAGTATGATGTTGGGTTTGTTGGGTTGTTATTATGAAATTCGTGCAAAAGAATTAATGTTGTAGGTGTAATTAGGACTATTAGATGACTTGCTATTTTTGGGATAATCTCTCTTAGGAAAAATTGAATAAGCGAAATTCTAAAAATACTTAGGTCAAAATGACATAAAAAATAAATCTGGGGGTTGAGAAACCTTAAGGTAGGTGAAACGGAGTGAATTAGAGGTTTGGAGATGTTTTAGGGCTTAAACGTAGAATTTGATCCAATACTAGTATTTTGGTCATAATGCTTTAGTCCAATATCTGATTTAGCTGATTTTTATGGTATTAGACGCTAGACTTCATAATTATATGATAGATAAACCATAGTTTTGATTTTTTATGTAATCATCATACCTATTATTTTATTAAATAAACACATGATTTTACATTCAAAATTACATGTTTTTTTATGAAAAATCCTAGATCTTGATTATAGGCAAATTTGATAAATCTTTTTATGATCTCTTTCATGTTTTGATTTGATTACTATTCTATTTTGAGAATTGTAGAACTATGAATTGTGGTATTTGCAGATTTTATGGAAAACGTTGACATGATCTATTATATAGGTGGTGTGATGAGCGGGAGTTGCATTCAACTGGATATTATAGAGTGTTTAGGTGAGTTTCTTACCTTGATGGAGTTTGAAGGTTTCCTATCACTTGGTGTGGAGTTGCTTGGGTCCTTGCGAGTGTTCAAGAATTTGCACTATTGACTCTCATGAACCTAGGTGAAGGGCTAGTGTATTATTTCTGGGAATTTTTGTCAATGTCGATGCGTTGGTATACTCGCTTCCTTAAAATTGTGTATCCTTGTGAGAATTGATTGGATGATTATGTGTGTGCGTGTGTGTAGACTAGGATATTATCGATATGTAAATTCACGTTAGTCAACATGTGTATATTATATATACATCTTATATTTGTCTATTGGTTTGAGAATCGGTTCTATTCATTTGTGAATTTTTTTATTTATACATTGAAATTTGAGATTATTATTAATTATCACATGTTTTATTTCAAGAGTTATATATTTATTTTATAAAGTGAGGCCAACCTGATGGGACATTTTCAGACACTCCCAGATGATGACACGTATACTCAGCGTCAATAGAGACACTTGCTCTAATACTGACACGTCTTCGTCGGTTTCCAAACCCCCCTGCCCCAAGAATGCTATTCACAGGGATCAAAGATCCCCAAACCACCATGGACCGACACGTATTCCTCAACAATTTGGGTATATCGGTCCTAGATCTTGCTAGTCCCTCGACATCAAGGGGTATCTATCGCGTCGGTGTTTCTGCACCTGCAGGGGCTATTGATGGACAGATCACTAGCCTAGGCAAGGCTAGATTAGCCATCATGACCTCATCTTACTCAAATGGTGTCAGGAGGCACAAGAAAACAGAAGGCTCAACCAAAGGGGAATGGACACGTGGCGTATTGTGTCAGATCAGAGACAAAAAGACTAGAATGCTCTTGCTGACACACGACTTGGAAAAATAAGTATTTAATGTACCTTTCCGTTAATGAGACAACATTTAATGCATGAGAGCTCGGAAGTGAAAGGTAATAAATGTCTCAAAGCTTGGGTATTTAATACACCCCCGCCGAGAGAAGATCATTAAACATTCGACAGACCGAGGAGAAAACATTAGTTGCTCGGGGTCCCGAGCAATAAAGAATAAGATCATTACTCATAGAAATTGGTGTGCACGCTGCCCACCCCCAATGATTACCTACTAGCTACACTGTCAGCAATGATAAATTTTTTAAGGTATAAATAGTCCTCACAAACACAGAAAAGGGGTACGCAACTAACCCTCTCTCAACCATCATACAGTATTTTCTTCTTCACCTCTCTCAAAGAATTGAATTGATCGTCGGAGGGTATACGCCGAAAAATACTCCGATGCCCTTTTATTTGTTCTAGGAACCTCCTTCAGTCTTCCAGGATCACTCAGGCGACTCATACCAATGATTGATTATCCACCTTCGACACTCATAACCTGTTCAACTAGCAAGATCAACCACCCAATTTCGGATACGTGTTCACCATAGAAGAGATCTATTTTAGTGTTTATATTGTGTACGATCTTGCACCCATAATCTGGCACCGTCTGTGAAAACACAAGTAGTTTTCCTAGTTTCTTCTCTAGAAAGAACAGTGACCATGGTAAATACTCGACAGAAAGGGAAAAGTCCCCAACAAAGAAGTCTCGAGTTACAAGCTCCTCGTCATGTTGGGGGAAGGGATCACGCTGATGACAACAGGAACGTTTCTATTCATTCAAGGGGGCATACTCCTCAAACCAGTATGGACATTAGATCAGGAGGATCTGCTCCCTTGGCTCGTCAACTAACGGAGGTGATTGAAGAAAAATTTGGGGATCGCCTACGACAGTTAGAACAAGATAATGTGAATGTCTTAAGCCGACGAAGGATTGGGGGACTCATTCCTTTCCCGCGGACGCCCCGTCCGAGAAGCAGAAACTGAGGACTTGAGGAATTATTTAAACAACAAAGTTAAGAGCTCCAGGGGTCCCGAAGCGCTTGAGAGCCGATGATCACCCCCTCGAGGGTCATTCCAGGAAGGCAAGGCCTTTGGCCTAGGATGACCTCCGGTGGGGACTGTCAAGGCGGGGGAAGGGAGATGAGTCCGAGGAGGATTCGACCCTTTTTACACGACGTTCGGAGAAGGAGAGCCCCGTCAATGACCTTGGAAACTTCAAAAGGCATCCTTCCGAGGTGGAGACTGATCTCAGAGCCCGGTTGGAATCCAGGAGAAGGGGCAAGGCCGTCTAGGATAATGCCGAAGATGAGGCCATGCAATTGC